CTCAAACACTGATCTATAGAAGCCGCAATACACAAAGAGAGGCTAGGACAGCCCTCACAATAGAAAGGCCTTCGGCTAAAAGCTGAAACAGCTCTGTGGGACCTTGGTTGGTTCTGACAGAGACTCAGGGACCAGTGGTGGAGGATGGGTGGTGATAGGTGATGGCTGGTTGGTGGTAGCAGCTGTGTGGGTGACGATTTTTAGGGTTTTAGCTCTGATATCATGTAATTTAAGAGAATACAAAGCTTGAGTGATGATTATGATATCATCACCTTTTACATTAATCAATCAACTGTTACAAAAGGAAGCCCTAAGGCACTGATTAATGAATCACCTTTTATATTGATTGATTGATTGACTGATTAAAGAATCACAATCGATCGATCGATCGATCGATCGATCAATCAATGAATCACAATCTAATCGAAATAAGGAAATAAGAAAATATTCTAACAAAGGGAGGAAGAAAAGAAAAGAAAGAGAAGAAAGACCGAAGAGATAGAGAACTGAGAGTGGAAGGTAGAGAGTGTAGAAATTTAATGTATAAAGAGAAATGATTGTATTATTAATTGATATATATTGATGTCTATTACAATGATTCATGATTCCTATATATAGAAGAGGGTGAGTGTGTAGTAGGTAAGGAGTAGGTGAAGTGGAGGTGGTAGTGGTGTAGTGGGTTAGGTTTAGTGGAGTAGGTGAGATGGTAGTGGTGTAGTGGGTTAGGTTTAGTGGAGTAGGTGAGATGGTAGTGGTGTAGTGGGTTAGGTTTAGTGGAGTAGGTGAGATGGTAGTGGTGTAGTGGGTTAGGTTTAGTGGAGTAGGTGAGATGGTAGTGGTGTAGTGGGTTAGGTTTAGTGGAGTAGGTGAGATGGTAGTGGTGTAGTGGGTTAGGTTTAGTGGAGTAGGTGAGATGGTAGTGGTGTAGTGGGTTAGGTTTAGTGGAGTAGGTGAGATGGTAGTGGTGTAGTGGGTTAGGTTTAGTGGAGTAGGTGAGATGGTAGTGGTGTAGTGGGTTAGGTTTAGTGGAGTAGGTGAGATGGTAGTGGTGTAGTGGGTTAGGTTTAGTGGAGTAGGTGAGATGGTAGTGGTGTAGTGGGTTAGGTTTAGTGGAGTAGGTGAGATGGTAGTGGTGTATGTAGAGGACACTGGATGGCGGTGTCAGACCGATGTAGAAGACAGTTTATGGGGTCATGTCGGACCGTTGTAGCAGACAATGTTGTGACCAAAGTTTTTAAAGGCGAATGCGTACTTTAAGGCGTTTTACCTCTCATGAGGCAAGGCTTAAGCCTCAAGGCGTTGAGGCGTAAGCATTTCAAATTTCAAATTTTAATATTTACTGAATAAATTAAATATTTTTAAATAGTTAAAAAAAAAATTAAATATAAATACTTTTCGCTTTAATGCGTTGAACATTTTACTGCATAGAAGGAAGTTTTCCTTCACTGAAAGAGAAATCGATATTCTTAACTTCATTAATGAGATAAGCTCAGGTGAGAACGGCCTCACCCTAGTAGGACCGAGGCACACTTATAGAAAAACACATGCAGCGAACCATATCAAGAAGATGACAATTTTTGCGTTCTGCAACCTCATTTTGTTGAGGGGTATTAGTGCAAGATGTCTGATGTATAATGCCGTGAGTGGAAAAATAGCTCTGTTATCCTGAATCGATGTATTCACCCCTATTATCAGAACACAAGATTTTGACAATTACTCCAAACTGAGTACAAATCATTTTATGAAAATTTTAAAATACAGAGAAACCTCACTTTTTTCTTTCATGAAATACACCCAAGTAGTACGAGAAAAATCATCGATAAAGGGAACAAACCATCTATGGCTTTTTAAAGACATAACACGAGATGGACCCCACATATCAGAATGTATTAAAGAAAAAGGAGCTAAACTTTTATTAAGACTTGGAGCAAAAGAAGCTCAGTGTTGTTTGCCAAGTTGACAAGACTCATAAAGAAACTTAGACATATTATTGTTTGTAAAAACAAACAGAAATAAGTGCTTAAGTAAATGAAAAGAAGGATGTTCAAGATGCCGATACCATAGCCATGAATCCTCCTTGGTGGTTAGGATCTAGATGGAATGATTAGCAAGCTTGTTCTGCTGATCCAAGAAATAGAAACCATTTCCTGCAATACCACTGTCAATCGTCCTCCTCGTGACAAGGTCTTGAAAAAGACAATGGCCAGGAACAAATGTCACACTACAGTTCAAATCTTTAGTAATACGACTCAAGGATGGAAGATTAACAGAAAAATTAGGAACGTGGAGCACTGAAGACAGAGGTAAGGTAGGGGTGACATGAATTAATCCTTTTTTAGAGAGAGAGAAACAATACCATCTACAATCCTAACTGTCTTGACGTGAAGAGGGCTTATATGTTGAGAAAAGGTCAGAAGACCCAGACATATGATCTGAGGCACCATAATCAATAATTCATGGAAAAAAATTATGGGAAAGAATAGCACTAGAAGGAAAGGCTAAGTTACCTGAGCGGGCAAACGACGAGGAAGATACACTGGGAGCAGTAAAAGACTGGCGGGCCAGGAAATGACGTAGAACAGCCTTAAGCTTAGGAGAAGTCATGCTAGACAAATTATCAGAAGTCGGACCAACTGATGCGGAAGTAGAATCAAGGGTGTCAACAACACTAGACTAGACAGATGGGTCCATGGATTAGAGTCACGTTCTCTAGACTGGCCTGATTGACCGCCTCTAGTATTAGACAGATCACCTTGACTTCCTGAAGGAGCCCCAAGAAGCTTCCAACACGTCTCATGAGTATGCTGCGGCTTGCGGCAGTAGTCACATAACACAGTATCCTTTCCTGAAGAATGGGAAAGAGGTAGTGACAAACTAGCTCCATATTGAGAAGGAGCAGAAAGTAATACTAAATGGTCTTCGGTAGCCGGTGGTAACATAGTAGAATGACGACCCTACTTATTCTGTACGTATGCGAAGGCCTCTTAAAGAGATGGAAGAACATCCATGCCAAGGACACAACTCCAGACTGGATCAAACTCCACATTAAGGCCTTCCAAAAACTTGAAGACCCTCTCCCGTGCAAGATACTTTTGGTAATCGAGTCAACTGTACAGACAAGCTTGTAATCCATGAGATGATCTAGGTGTTTCCAACCATTAATCAGAAACGTGTAATACTGGAGAATTGTCTACTCCCCCTGTACTAAGCGCTCAATAGACAGGCGCAACTCAAAAGACTGAGAAAAATTTCCTTTTCAAGAATATGTAGCAGCGACAGCTTTCCAAATATCATGAATAGTATCCATGGATAAATTGCCTTCACCAATCTTAGTAATCATGGAATGAATGAGACATCCATGATTAAAGTATTGGTAATCTCCCATTGGTCATAGTTAGGATCCGTAATACCTAGTGCTTGAACTCTCCCATTAGCATATCCGATCTTCCCCCCTACTCTTTAGAAAAAGTGTCAGCCACTGAGACCATGAAAGGTAATTCTGATCATTAAACAGAGTGGTGGTGATTTTGAGGCTAAGGTTCAGGTTCTCAGATGTAGTAGTCATAACTGGACTGGAGCTCTCCCCTTTAGGTGGGTGAGAAGTGGTGGATTCACTAGTTAGGTCAAGCATAAGAACTATACAATTTAAATCCAAAAAACCTTGCACGAATCACAAGAATGGAAAGAGGAATGGAATCGGCTGGAATAAGCAAAATCACATACAGCCCACTATAGAAGCATAACAATTAGATTAATGGGTCATCTATGGACCAAAAAAATAAATCAAATATCGAAAAACGAACCTCAAATCAAAGCAAGTGTTGAATTGTCTTCAAGAAAGTAGAGGGAAAGAAACTTGGGATAACAGAAGATAGGCAGCCCTCAAACACTGATCTACAGAAGCTGCAATACACAAAGAGAGGCTAGGACAGCCCTCACAATAGAAGGGCCTTCGGCTAAAGCTGAAACAGCTTTGTGGGACCTTGGTTGGTTCTAACAGAGACTCAGGGACCAGTGGTGGAGGATGGGTGGTGATAGATGATGGCTGGTTGGTGGTAGTGGCTGTGTGGGTGACAATTTTTAGGGTTTTAGCTCTGATATCATGTAATTTAAGAGAATACAAAGTTTGGGTGATGATTATGATATCATCACCTTTTACATTAATCAATCAACTGTTACAAAAGGAAGCCCTAAGGCATTGATTAATGAATCACCTTATTGATTGATTGACTGATTAAAGAATCACAATCGATCGATCGATCGATCAATCAATCAATGAATCACAATCTAATCGAAATAAGGAAATAAGAAAATATTCTAACAAAGTGAGGAAGGAAAGAAAAGAAAGAGAAGAAAGAATGAAGAGATAGAGAACTGAGAGTGGGAGGTAGAGAGGTTATTGGGAAAGAAAATAAAGAGAAGACAGGGATGAAAGAGAGTTGAGGAAGGCAGGGGGAGAGGTGAGCCTACAGCGTAAAATTAGTTTTTTTTACAGAAAAAGGATATTTAGGGTAAAATGGGTATGTCGAAAAACATCAACAAAATGAATTAGTTGACCTAACGTTTGACTAACGGATGCAATTATTTGTTATGTGATTTGAATCTTTAGGGAGCAGGATGTATTTTCCAGGACCTGCAGGAGTTAAATGTATGTTAGACAAACCTCGGGGGGTATAATTGTAATTTACCCTAATATCTATCTGTCCAATTTTGTCTTGTTTTATGTTCGGCAATATGTTATCTATTAAGTTCTTGCACTGGTCATAGTTGATGATCCTTCTCAATCATGTGAAAGTTGTTCCTCCTGTTATGCAGTCAGAACACTTTTCAAGCTCGAATGTTCTCTTAATATCTCTCTCTTCAAAATCTGTTAGCTTGTTCTCTGGTGCTGCTACTGAAGTTTTGCTGTATTGATGATTATGCCTTGTCATTGAGATTGGTTATTATTTTCAATATTGTATAATGCGATTATCAACTAACATTTCCATTCCTTCTTGCAGGTTTTTGTCCTATTCAGTGACGGTTCAGTTTACATCCTTTGCCCAGTCGTTCCTTTTGGAAGGTAATCTTAATTTCAAATTGTGCTCATTGTCATAATTGTCAAGTTGACAATCAAATTGTGAATCAAAATCTTAGTTTTGTGAATCATATATTAAATCAAACTGAGAATCTTAAGATTCGCACAAACTATAAAAATAATGGAAACAATTGTATTATATATATGGAAAAAAAAATGATTTTGCTATAATTTATACAATAGTTCTTTTATAAAGATATGATTACCCTTCCTAATTGGGAAAGCATTGCTTTAATAGCAAGGGATGCGTGCCCAAATTTTACCAACCATAAAATTATTTAAAAATCATAATATATTCTATCTCAACATTCAAAAAATCACTTAGCCCTAAATAGAGTTTTAATAAAAAAAACACTTTATATATGTTTATTGTTCAAAAAAAGTAAAAAAATGGTTGTGGAACGACCTAACTTATGTCATATAAAACCATGTTTATTTCAGTAAAATAACAATAGATAATTCATTGATTCAAGTTTTAGCCTTGCATATCTGTAGAAGATATATTTTGAAATTTTTCTGAGGAAAAAAAAAGGAGAGAAATAGGTTAAGAATTTGCTAGGTTTGACTAGATCTAATTGGATCCTTTTAAACCCTTTGATCACCAATATAACAACAAATCATGTATATGTATTGATTATTTTAGTACGAAACACACTTAAAAGTTGTATAATGACAATTTCACAAAAAAAAGAGGTGTAAATAAGAGTCAGAATTTGTTGGAACCGAGAGTTTCAAGAATCACATGAATTGACTTGTGAATCATGTGATTCGCCAATGAATTTTATACCAAAATAGATTCACCCATAGATTCTCATCGATAAATGCATGAATCATGAATCGAATCACAAATTGAATCGTGAATCGTAAGGTTCTAATAGCATAGCTCATCATCATTAATTGTCTGAGATAAGGAGTTATTACTGCTTGCTGCTTCCTCCTGGAATCAGCAATATAGACATCATAATGTTTAGCACTTCAGCTTATGAGAAACTCAAGAAACTTGAAATTGGGATTGTGTGTGGGGAGTTATTCTGTCTATTACTATGTGCGATACGTATAATTAATTATGGAAGCAGGTGTCATTTGATACTCAACTCTGGTAGCACTTGTATGAAAACTGTTTTTCAACATTGTGTTAAATCGCATGGGTTTGGGGGGCAAATGCTTCATGTTGTATTCAGCCCCGGGAGTTCCTATGCTATATTATTTAGTCATTATGGGCACGTAATTTAGGTATGTTCTGTGTCATAAAGTATCTGATGAATGAGAGATTAGTTCATCTCCCACAACGTTTCCATGTTTTCGTGGTACGGATGGTCTATCATGAATCATGATGGGTCGGTTAGGGTTTTACTGATGCTTTATGTTGGATGCTGACAAAAATTTGAGTGGTTTGTTTTGCAACAGTGTGTATAAATGGGAATCTATATTGGAGATATATGGTGATGCTCAAACATTTGGGCTGAAATCTGCCAATTCAAGGTATGTTGGTTAGTAATTCTAATATGGCGATCTCTTGGTTGGAAGCAACATTTCCCGAGTTAACTCACCAGGCAACAGGAGGAGGAAATCTATCTGCACTTAAAGCTCAGCCATATGCTTTATTTGATGCATCCATTTCATTGCAGGTATTGTTCTTCTGTTACCTGATTCTTTGTTGTAGTGTTTTCAGATGGGCCCTAGGTTTAATTGTATTACTTGACGATGCTTTATTAAGTTGTTGCATATTGTAGCCAGAATATTATACATTTTCTTATAGAAAGTTCCTTTTTGTTTCTCTGAACAACCCCCGCTTCTTTGTCAGTGATGTCTGTTATTATGGCTCAATTACTATTGTTCTTTTTGCTTTTGTTTTTCCCTGCAAAATTTTACTTGTATTGCTTCTTGAATTTGCGTTTTTGTATCACTTGAATTCCTTTTCATTTTGTTTAGCTATCATAATTACTTCTCTGAATTATATTTTATCCCATTACTTCTTGTAATCTTTGCCACTGTTTTAAATTTGAGGGCTTATTTTTTTGGTTGATATCCCTATGTAGTTTTTAGCAATTCTTCCATGCTAAGAGACAGTGGCTGCAAGCACATGATTCTGAAATGTCTTTTAATAGAATTTTGAAACATCTATTTCAAATGTTAAAGAGAACCTTTCATGCTTCTCTCTGCTCGTTCATCATCAAATATTAAAAATTGAAGACATCTATTGACCTTAAAACCTCTAGAACTTTCCATAAAAAACTTCTAAAATACAAAATATTAGTACTCTTGTGCTCAGTTTTGATTGTTGAGAAAGGAGGCTACATTCACTCTGGGAAAATGATATTCTTACAGAATTTTTCTATAGATTTCATAACAAGAATGACGTGGCAGTGGCATTTGTGAAATTATGAGAACAATGATGAGTGCTTTCATTGTAAATGAAGGGATCACAAGATGCCACATCATTCTCTACGAAAATTTTATATATAAATTCTGTTTGTATATATTTATCAGTGAAAGCATTTCGGTTTTTAGTAAATAAATTGTGTTTTTTAGATATTAAAATTGTATATATATCTCTTTCTTTTGTCACAAGTAAAATTGTTTCTGTATCTCCTTCAGAATTATAAGATTTATAATCTGGTGTAAATTTTGAGTCTAGTTGATGTTTGACAAAGATATTTGCTCCATTGCATTTACGTTGGAACTTTTTCTTTAATGATTTCCAGGGTCCTCTCCCTAAAGTATGTCATGATGGTGAACAAGGTTCAGAAGTGCGTGTTGCAGAGTTTGAAGGGCGGGCAGTCAGTTTACTGTATAATTCAATCAGCAAAGATTCAATTCTGGTGACTGCATGGAGTGGTGGACAATTGCAGATAGATGCTTTAGCTGATGAAATACAGCCAGTCTGGGTTGTTGGTAGCCCACCTCGTCTTTGTGTTGATTCTTGTGACCGGATTGTTGGTGTTGCTATGATATGTGAATCAATCCCTGGTGACCACTCCATTGTGAAGCTTGACCAGCCACCTGATCATACTGTGTGGTCAGGATATCCTCCCCCTTTGTTGAGGTTGGCAATGGTGGATTTAGCTCTGCCTAGAAACAGAGAGAGTAGTTCTCCTATTTCAATGTTTGTTGATCCTCTTATCCCAGAAAGAATATATACCTTCCATGATGGAGGGATAGATTCCATAGTGTTGCATTTTCTCCCTTTTACAAGTCAGACAAGTGGCAAAGATGAAAGCATGAGAACTCCCTCTGTGCATCCTGTTCTTAGTACATGCCAGGGAGAATCCTCATCCCCTCTTTTTGGTTTCATGGCATTGTCTGATTCATTTGGATATTCATGGATTGTCGGGCTGACCTCTTGGGAGTGCATTGTGCTTGAGGTGAAAAGTTGGGATCTGTTGCTTCCCATTCATGTTGAAATGGAGAAGCAAGCCACAACCTTGGAAGAATCAAGAGACACAGACACTCCAGCTATTATAAGCAAAGAACTCCTTGGTGGCCCTAAGGTGGTTCTTCCTCCATCATCGAATCTACGCTCTGTTACAGCTGATTCTATTGAAGGTCGATCAGCTCTTCATCAGTACTTCAAGCTTTTTCATGAAAATTATGTGGAGTATGCACACAAGGTACCAATGGGTGATCTGGTTCACATGCAACCATTTTTAATTATATATATCTATCACGTTCACTTCTACCAGGTTATCTCTTTTATCTCATGTTGTTTCTCATCTCATCATTTGTTATGTTGGAAGAACATATTCTTGTTTGTAACTTTGAAGTTGCAGAACAAATGTTTCCTCATGGTATTTTGCAGAATATAGTGTGATATTTAAAGTTGAGGAGCCTTTCATAATTCATTCATTCAACTGATCCAGTGCAAGGAGCCCCTCTTTCGCCTCTCCCCCATCCCTTCTCCCCATAACAGGGGGAGCGAGGGATTGATACTATAAAATGAGTATCAAATTTATAGAGGTAAATTACATCTACACCCCTTGAGATTTGAGTTTAATATAGATGCCCTCTTCACGTTTTGGAAATTACACTGCACCCCTTGTCCGTGTCTTTTCACAGAAATAATGGAAAAAATGTAATGACTTTAATAACCTCAATTACAATAGTCAAGTTACTATATTACCCACAAGGCATCTATTATTCTCTTCCTCTTTCTTCTTCCCTCCCCCATTAATGGACCACCACAGCAGCACCATTTCTTCCTCTCTTCACCATTGAACAGAACTCCTTCCTAGAAAGCAAACCCCACCAGCACAGAGCAAACCCGCCCTCCACTATTAATGCACCACCATCACACCACCGACTGCTGCTCCTTGCTCACATTAACAGGCCTCTTCCTCACCATTTAACAAACAACCCAATCAGGCAACAAACCCACCCCGCCAGCTATCATCACCAAAACCACCATCCTCTGCCACATCTTACCCCAAATTAAACACCCAAAGCAACACCAAAAAATTCTCAAATCAAGTCCACCAACCCTTAAAAATTGTGTAAATTTTGCAAAATAAAACGATGATGAGAAGCAGTTTTGATAGAAGTGGGTTTGTAGGAGTTGTGATGGGGTTGGATTTGCGGTAGCTTTGGTCGCCTAAGTGAGTTCGCTGGTTTGTTTCAGTCAGTGGGACTTCCTTTGATGATGCCCTGTGCAGGAACTACCAGACCCACCAAAACTCCACTCAGCCCCTCTCACAGCTGGTTGTGGTGAAGTGTAATTGATGGGTTGATATATATGCATGTAGTATATACACAGTAGATTGAGAAGAAAAACATATGGTAATGGTGCTGTGTGAATCAGATTAGGCTAAAGTGTTGTATGCATATATGTTTGCAATTAAACAATCCTTCAAGGTTTAGAACTGATGCGTTTATGAACATCTAGAGTTGCAAAAGCAACTAATGGGTTTTCGGTTGCCAAATAATGGTCTGTGCTTGGAAAAGGGTTAAAATGACATTTTAAATAAACTAATGGCTTACATCAGCAAAAACTGTTAGTCAACTAACGGAAGGGAAAGTTTGTAATGTGATTACAAACCTCAGGGAGTGCAGTGTAATTTTTGAAGTGTGGAGAGGGAATCTGTATTAAACTCAAACCTAAAGAGGTGTAGATGTAATTTACACCAATTTATTATTATTTGGAGGTAAATCAAATGCCAGCTATAAGCAGCGGCTAAACATAGTCATAAATCTTGAGCTAAATAATTAAATTTGAAGGCCCTTCTATGATGGCGCTTGAACTTAGCAATGCTTTGCACTGCCTTATTTTTTATTGTTCAGCTGTTATTTTGCTGTTCTATACTATGGCTTTTTAGGCTTCACATTGGTATCTAGTGAAAGATGATTTGGAAAATATGCTTCCTGATTATGATTGGTATGTATTCCAATGCTGTTTTGAGATTGTTTTGTTTTGATTCTGTTTTTGGTTTGGTTGGTTTGGTTTGGTTTTGTTTTGTTTGTTTGGTTTTTTTTATTTATTAAATCCTTTCTAGATAATATGGTCGTGTGAAGACTTCACTCTGGTTTTCTAGGTGTACTTTGAACTCAAGCATCATGGGCCTCAATTGAAGAAAATCATTGAAGACCAGCACGGTCGTTTGCGTGAGGCACAACAAAAGCTTTTGAAAATTGAGGAGAAACAGGAAATAATAGAAAACCGCATTAGTCATGCAACTCAGATGCACAGTCACTTCGAAGAACGTTTGCGAAGGTTGAGAAAGTTGCCGGGGGTGCAGAAGAAACCATTGTCAAAAGCAGAGAGAGAGTTCAAGTCGGAACTGGGTGAGTAATTTATTTTGTGAATTGTTATTCATAGCTTATTTATTGGAATATAGAATAATTATGGGCTAGATTATTTTATTATGTATGCTAGTATTGATTTGATTAGATATCTTGATCAGTAATTTGTTATCTGTCCGTGAATAAATCTTTTAAATATTCCTAATACATTGCAAATGTAAACGAAAGTGCTTTTGCTTCCCTCTTATGAATTGTGCTTTTCCCACTACATAAGCTGTTTGTAATAATTACTCTTCAAAATGCAATTGTTTCTGAATTTTGTCATCGACATTAGCTCATTAACTTTCTAAGTCATGCTATTCTGATTAACTCGGGTTTGGAATAATTCTGAATGCCGAACATTTTCACAACTCCAACGTTAAGAATTTATCTAGATGGTTCAAACTCATTTTTCTAGGTTGGCTGGGATTTCTTTTTTAAACAAACGTCATTTAACATACCATTTTGATTCTTTTGCAGACAGGTTTACTGGAGTGGAGTTGGGCGCTTTACATTCTTCCATCGAAACTTTGAATGTGAGGTTGAAAAGATACACACGTTCTCCACAGGGCGATGTGTTGAACCAACAGAGGCAACTATCAGGTAGAAGGAAGAATTATGTCCAAGATGACCAAATCTCTCAACTCAAATCTTCAGTGGCCAAACTTTCACTTGTCAACAGCGAGAATACAAAAAAGGTTAAACTTCTTGAATCTTCATTGAGCCGCCGTGAAAGCGACAGCTGATGTAACTGCATTTCTGGTTGGGTACTGTGGCTGAATTTTCAAGCTACATGTCAATTTCACATCTGTTTGAGTTTTGGACAAATGAAAATCTAACAAATACCCCTTAGAAGTCAAGGGGTAGATGCTCATGTCTCGTGCTAAAGAACTTGTACGTATGTGTCTTCATTCAAGAACAGCTTTAGACTAAGAAATAGATGTAGTTGGGACAAGCCTTTCATGTGCAACTTATGACACTTGACCTTACATATCACAGTTTTCAACCTAGTTTTTATTCTGTGAAGGGCAGACCCGAGGCTACATAGTTTGATTTAATTCAACTTTGACAGCTGTTCCGAATGCGATCTGAGGTCTTAGGCATTGACTATACCCAGCATCACAGCTGAATCGTAAACCTTTGTGCTAAGTGTCTTAAAAGGTGATCTGTATGGGGTCCAAATTTTTACTAGTCAAAATGTTCAGTTCAATCACTTTTCTTGGTTTGCTAATTGAATTATGAGTAATACTCCGAACCTAGACTTATCAACCCGGAAATTATTCATAATTATTATTTTGTGATTCAGATTTATTTTACACATAGACTCTACATTATTTAAATTTAATTTCCATCACACAACACACTAACCAGAAAAATTTGGGAAGTTATGTCTGGGAGATTAGCTTTTCTTGATTTATTACCCAGCAATGGAGATAGAATATTCATTGGTTTGGAGCATTTTAGGGGGTTAGATTGCATTTGTGGTTGTTGTTATCTATTTTAATGGTTTTATTATGGCTGCTACTTTTTTATTATTTTATTTTGAAAAGTATTGGTTCACTTTCCTATATAGCACGCACCCCTTGATTTACTTAACGTTTAATTATACGTATATTTTGGGTGATTGACACTTTACGCTGCTACCAAGCACCATATTTTTGGAATTTTCTTAATGTTTGGATTATGAATTTTAATAAGGATTCGACCAAAAAACAGCTGTTAGAAAATTTTATTCTCAATTTTTATTTATTTATTTATTTTAAAAAAGGCATTCCTATCCGTAGTAATGATGGTCCAAAATAAAACATCTATACTATATATTAAGTAAAATTGGGTTTTTAACCCTCAAAACCTGTGGGAGTTTCAACATCTCAATTTGAATTTTTAAAATTTTTTATTTTAAAAAAACTTAGCATTTATTGATTTGGTCAAAATTTCCTGATTAACATTTATTAATTTTTTTCTAATTCACATGTCTTTTTACATGTTTGCATTTATTAATTTGATCAAAATTTCTTGATCAGCATTTAAAATCTGCCCATACAAATAATTATAGATACAATCTGTGTATAGTTACTGCAGAATTTTTTTTAACATCTCCTATACATTATGGTTAGTGATAAGATTGTTAAAGTATTTTTATAAAAAATCTTTAAAAACATAATTTATATATTAAAAAAAAATCTAAAACAAATATAAATATCTACAATTATCCAGTGCTATGCACGGGTGATGGGCTAGTATTATATAAGAAAAAGGAGGTTTTTAATCCATAAGCTTTTTGGAAGTTCCAATATTTCAATCCTAATTTTTTAATTTGTTGATTTAAAAAAAATAAATAACCTCAACATTTATTGACTTCTCTCAATCCACAAACTTTTTTAACTTCTCTCATTGTTACTGCAACACCCTTTTCAACTTCTCTCGTACACTATGGTTAGTGATGAGATTGTTAAATTATTTTATAAAAAATCTAAAAAAAAAATAATTTGTATATTAAAAAAATCTATATCTATATCTATATCTATACTATATATTAAGCAAAAAGGGGTTGTTGACCCCAAGCCTTGTGGGAGCTCCAATCTCCCAATCTAAATTTCTTGATTTTTTGATTTAAAAGAAAAAACCTTAGCATTTATTAACTTCTCCCAACCCCCAAGTCTTACCCTCATAATAACACTTTAATGCATTAAGAACAAGCATAAAAAAAATTCTTTGAAATCCAACGCATAGGAATTCCTTGAAAAGTCTCAACACATATGATTATTATCCCTCATAATAACACTTTAATGCATTAAGAACAAACATAAAAAAAATTTCTTGAAAAGTCCAACACATATGATTATTATCAAAATATTAAATTTTAATATAATATAATAAAAAAAAAGACATTTAATTCCTTTAAAAGTCTAACACATATGATTATTATCAAAATATTAAACTTTAATATAATATAAAAAATAAAAAAAGAAGAAGGCATTTAAAAAAAAAGAGAAGAAGACATTTAAAAATCACAATTCACATATATAGATAATTGTAAATACAATCCGTGCATACCACGGATGATATGCTAGTTAGATTGTAAAGGTAAGAAATAAGTTCATAATAATGGCACATGAAAAGTAAGTGCATCACTTTTGGGGCCTTTCCCCAAAATAAGCCAAATTAGCAACTTAATTTCCAAACTAGGCCTAGTTTGGACGGAATTTCCAAATTAGGCTAAAACGTGGTTCACAACCACGCTTTCAAAGTTTTTGTGGCTATCGCGCGGAAATTTTTTGAAATCGTAAAAGCGTGTTTTCAAACCACGCTTTTAATTAATAAAGCGTGATTACAATCCACGCTTTTAATTAATTTTTTTTACTTTTTTCTGAAAGCGTGGTTGTGAACCACGCTTTTAACTGAATTTTTTTCATTTTTTATTATTTTTTATTATTTTTTCTGAAAACGTGGTTGTGAACCACACTTTTAACTAAAAAAAAATTTCTTCTGAAAACGTGGTTGTGAATCACGCTTTTAAGCAAAAAATTTTCCGTTTTTAAGTGAAAGCGTGGTTCGTAACCACGCTTTTAAAACTTATATAAAAACTCCCCTAGCCCTCATTTGCAACCACGCTTTTCACACTTAGGTTTTTTCGACAACTCACTGCTCTCTCTCACTCTCTGCTATAGCGATCCCGGTTCTTTCTCCTTTGTTTGTAGTATTCGGACTTAGTTCCGTGGATTCCGGTTGTTGTTTTGAACTTGTTTTTGTCCTTCAATTCTTTAAATTTGAGTTATAGAATGTTTTGGACTTGTTCGTTCCAAGTTGGGTGTGATTGGGAGCAGGTGGTTGCTGCCCAGGTTTTTAGTCCTTCGCTCGAGCGAGCTGTTTGTCGCTCGAGTGAGAGTGGAGTTTTGTGTCCGGTGGGTCGAGCCAGGGTGGCTTCGCTCGAGCGAGCGTTGCGTCTGGTACTGGAACCTGAACACTGGAATTCTTGGCTCGAGCGAGCTTGTCTTCGCTCGAGCGAGTCTATCGTATTTCAGTAGGCAGCAGCGGGGAAAAAGATCATTTTTCTCCCTCTTTCTTTCTTGAAACCCTAGCAGCCGAGAGTCTCTCTCTCTAAACTTATTATCTCTCTAGATATCATCTCCTTCTAGTATGAATCCATCCTAGGTCCTTTGTTAAAAAGGTAGAGGGTGTCGAGGGCTTCGTCTTAATCGGAAAAATTGTGGATTTGGAGCACTTTGATTTCGGGTCATCATCTCCTTTTGAGTTCTCCTTTGAGGTAGGGATTCTCCTTGTTCTTTTTCAATACTACGTCTATAGATAGACATGTGGTAATTTTTGTATTGCATGAAAACCATTTTATGTTGGATTTTTGTATAAATTCATGAGGTTGAACTTTGGGTTAGTTGTTGGATTTAGATCTATTATCATTAGATGTGTTTTGGGGCTAATTGGGTGTTAATTAGCATGTTGTTGTTGTAAGGAGAGGAAACCCTAATATTTATTTGGTTTAATAACTCAATAGAGGGGTTTTGATCATTGGGTAAATACTTGGGTATTTTGGGTTTGAATGAAGCCATTGTTGTTTGTTGTAGATGATTGAACTTTTTTATCAATATAGGGAGAAGGGGAGGAAAATCCTATTTTAGTGATTATGATTTAATTTGTATAATTAAATTGGAATGGCTTGGAGATGAATGTAGTAGATTAAAATGAGCTTTGGCTTTATTGTCCTTGGATTTGATTTTGTGAAAACAAAAGGAATAAAACCGGTTTTGAAAAATAAAGAGAGTTGGTTTTGTGAAATGGGAAAGGTACTTTGAAATGAGTATGAATGTTGGATTGTTGTATCTTATACTACTATGTTAGTATTAGGGATAAGTTGATGATCTCATGATATTTGAGTCTGCTAATAGATGTACAATATACATGCATTTAGAGGTTTTGTTCTTGGTCATCGGTGGAGGATGACATGGTTGTGTTGAATTGTTGTGTATATATATTACACCTATGTGTTTATCTACTTTAACTCGTTGTTAGATTCTTGTTGGTTATGTATATGCATTATACATGTTGGATATGCCTTGTTGCATGGTTGTTGTTGGCGTTATATGCCGCGCTTATAATCAAAGGTACCGTTACCTTCCAGCTAGCGCCTGGAGAACTGTATGCGCTAATAATAGAAGGCACCATACCCTTCCAGCTAGCGCCTGGTAAACTGGTATTTTGGCTTACTACGCACATAGCTAGTAGAGCGAAGTTGGTTGTAGTTATTTCAGTATATGTTTGGCTTACTAAGCGCTTAGCTAGTTGAGCAGGGTGGAATTGTTGTTGTTTAGTTGTAACTGAAAATATCATAGATTTGATTGGTTCCAGTTCGGAGAACCGAGTTACTCCATTGATTGATTGTATACATGTGGGTGGGTTGTAAATTTATATTTTTTTACAAGGTTATGCATGTATAGGTATGATAGTAGTGGAAATGAACCAAAATGTCTTTTTGTCTTTTGGAAAGTGTGAAGGAGAATGAATGTTTTAACGATAAACATGTTTTGAAAAGGTACATCTGTGTATGTATAGGAAGTGGAAGAGAGTATCGGGCTTAGTGAGATTATTTTCCTAAGTAATTGTTAATGTTATGAAAGAATGGGAATGGGGATTAATGAAAGGAATAAGGAAAGATGAATCGCTTATAGCGTTGAATGAAACGGTTGTTTTCAAGAAAAGTTTATATATATATATTTTGTATAAACTGTCATATTACTATTCTAGTACGAGAATGAGTGTGCATGATCATAGCTATCTGTAAGTTGTTATTGTTGAGGATCATGTTGAGATCCCTATTAGACTTTATGTTCATCCCACGTTGTTGAATCTTTTTCAGGTGTTTAGCAGGTTGTGCTACAGGATTTGGATCTTCTTATTTGTTGGCCACGGGGCCTCTTTGTTGTTGGCGGAACACCATATGTGTGAAAGGGTTACACCCCTTCATTTGTTTATTTAAAGGTTGTAAGCCCAAGGGCAATTTATAGAGTATGTTCATGTAACATTTACTTTGCATACGAATGAGAGTATTTATATTCATTTCTATGGATTGAATGTATGAGTTTATTTCCGCATGTTATCTCTGAAATTGAATTAAGTTAATGAATTTGGTAATGGCTTCGAGTAATAAAAGTGGGGCGTGACACTGCTCTCGCTCTTGGTCTCTCTCTGCTCTCGTTCCCTCTGCTCTCAGACTCTCTCTCTGCTCTTAGTCTCTCTCTCTGCTCTCTTTTCGT